AGTGGACTGAAGTGGAGTGTGTTAGGGGCACCAAATTGTAATCGGTGATATAGCTGGGGCACACAGATCTTGGAAGTCTTAGTAACCAGTGGACTATGATGTCATAATTACTGTTGAACCTATGATGTCACCATATTATTATGTGATGTCATTTTAGTAACCCAACGTTAAAGTGCAGTGGTTGTTACAGTAATCAACATTAGACTCGGTGACGTACACATCTCTTGTAAAATGCATGTTCTTTGTGACAACCACTGCCCTTTAAAGTGAATTTGACCAGTACAAATTGTGTAATCTTGTATTTTTATCTTTGTATGTTAAAAACCCATACACGTGGAGTGTCAAATCTTTAAAGTATGACCCATGTTACCAGAATGCTTATTTAATTTTCTGTAAGGCCCTATTCGTGGGTGCTTCTTTTTTGTCATTGGGAAAAAGAAGTCTCCAGAAGTTTGCTTGAATTACCGAAATGTTATTTTTTTATTTTACATGTATTTTAATTTTGCAGTATTACGTTAGTTTAGTTACATAGGTACCAAATTGAAATACACTTGTGCAATTTGCATTCCTTTGAAGTCCTACCCTCTTATTTCATCTAAACATGTTTTATCCATTATGGGACGTCCGTTCCACTTCAAAAATATCCCAATATTTACGTCTTTACTTGTGCACTCGAGTGCCATACGTTTTCTGGCTAAAAATAAATCGTGTTAGCAAAATTGCCAATGACCCAAATTTAGTGGGTTTTGTCACTACTTTAAATATGTAGTATATTTTAAATTATGTTTTGTACCTGTGAACATGCTTTGTTTATAAACAAGTGTAACTTTGGTCAGTGTTGAATTGCCAGCTTGAATGAAATCGCCCTCTTTTGCATATCCCTGAATAACTGTAGAGATTCATTCATGAGAATTTGGTGATTGTCTCACAATGTATCTTGTTATTGTAATTCAGTTTGCATTAAAATTTTCTCTGTTCACAAAGATGCTTGTATTTGTAGATTTTTGTGTCTCTTGTGCAAATTTGCAGGTACATATAAGATGAAAATGTACCCTGAAATGTATGTATAAATGTAACCAACGGCAACGATCTATAGCTCTATGTAGTTTACAAGACCATCTTTTGCTGTAGATTGGACATGGACCCCTTAGGTCAGTGTTTTTTGTTACATATCCCAACAATATTTTGCCTGCCATTTCAGTCATAACATGCTTTAAAATCAGTATGGTCAAAACAACATCAAATGTTGGGCATTCTCCAAAAATCTCAAAGGTCAAAATATGCCAGTTTTTCCAAAATGAATGTACATGTAATTTACAAACAAGCAGCCTCTCAGCTGAGATAGTTCTACTGTTAGCAATGCACATTTCAAATAAAGAACTGAACAAATTTGAGAGGTCTACCAGAGGTCCCTATATGTATAGTATCAAAGCAATTGGACTTGCTGTTTTCAACAAGAAACCAAAAATATTCATTGAAATTAGATTATTGAAGATATCATGAAATGAACATATATGAGAGGTCCACCCTATACTACATATATATATATATATATATATATGCAATATCAAAGCAAACTGGACTTGTAGTTTTCAAGAAGTCTTAAGAGTAAAAAGCTGACATGGATGACGACTGACAATCGCTCGTATGATAAGCTCTGCTCAACAAAGTCAGCAGCAGAGCTAAAAATGTGTGATGTTCTGAATTTGCATGAAATGTGTACTTCAGCTGCAACATTGCCAGCTTACACATGTGACAGGAACCAATCTCGTAAATCATAAACCTTAGAAAATGGACATGAAACTGGATTGACATGGATGCCAGGGTGCAGCAAAACAAAATCAGAATTACTGTTACCGGTAACAACTATTTAGTAAAACTAAACAGCCAAGTACTTTTTAACGATATACGCAACTAAAAATTGGGATGGTAATAGTTTTTACAGAAAAGGCTAACAAATAAGGATAATTTTCCCCACAATGAAACGAAAACTGTCAAACTTGTATTGATATCGAACAAGTGGATTTGTTGTATAATATTTAGAACCTGTGATAAATATGAATGTTGGCACAGTGTTTCGTGATGCAGTTTTATCCATAATGCATTAATGGATTAACTGTTGCACAAAGCAAGTTAAATTATCATTTGACTCTGGCAGTCCCTATCCCAGTTTTCTGAGCTCTATTGTTGAATCCACAGGGCAGCGGACATCTGGGCATTTTCACCGCCTGGCAATAACTGATTAATGGCATTTTGTTTTGTTTCAGCCATATTTTGTTTTCAACTGCTGGTGCATAACATGTTTGTTTTTTTCGGTATGAAGGTCGAGCATTTTTGTCGAGTAAAGGACGGTCACGCCGTTTGTTGTTGCCCTGCTGGGCATTTTCATCGCCTGGCAACCTTCGCAGAAAACGGTACTTTGGGATGGTTGTTGAGACTCCCCTGAACAGTGCAACAAGTTTAGCCCCACGTGTGTAACATATATAAATTCGGTTGTTCAAGATTACTTCAAAGTTGAGTTTGTGTTTTCTTGAATTTTCACCGGCTCGACTGGCGTTCCACAGAAGCGCGTGCAGAGCCCATAGAAATGCATGGTACAGTGGTGCGCTCTTAGCCAGGTGGAACATCTTGTGACGTAGCTCCGCCCCGAAGATAGACTTGTAAAAACATAGTTGCAGGTGTGTGTTTAGTACATGCCATGACGTACCAATAATTGTTAGGCCATTATGATAGGAAGGTGGCCACACAGCCCTGTCACGTAGTCCCAAATTATCATGGGAAGGTGGCCACACAGCCCTGTCACGTAGTCCCAAATTATCATAGGAAGGTGGCCACACAGCCCTGTCACTTAGTCCCAAATGATGATAGGAAGGTGGCCACACAGCCCTGTCACTTAGTCCCAAATTATGATAGGAAGGTGGCCACACAGCCCTGTCACGTAGTCCCAAATTATGATAGGAAAGTGGCCACACAGCCCTGTCATGTAGTCCCAAATTATGAAATGACAGCGGTGCATCTATGGTTGAATTTGTATTATACAATAATTGCAGACAATATAGTTTGGTTTGAAAAGATGCAGAAATGACATTTTCGTCTATGCCTGACCAGTGAATTTATTTTTACTACGTGGCCATCAGTCACAATTTTATAGCACAAAATATGTATCTGATACCGACAAATCAAAAATATTATCACACGAATGAAAAACAAATTTTTTTTTCCACAGTGGAGTTAGTAATAATAACTGATTAATGGCATTTTGTTTTGTTTCAGCCATATTTTGTTCTCAACTGCTGGTGCATAACATGTTTTTTTTTTCGGTATGAAGGTCGAGCATATTTGAGTAAAGGACGGTCACGCCGTTTGTTGTTGCCCTGCTTCTTACAAATGTTGTATTGTGGCTAACATTTTGTTGAAAGTCCATTAATTTAACAACAAATCTTAAAGTTATAGTTTGCATGCTATCCTGATCAAAAACATTTTTTGTCGACTAAGTCATTATTGTCTTCGCTTCAATAAATCCTGTCGTGCATCGCTGTTTTGAATTATTCCTGGTGTGTGATAAACACAACTAACCTATGAAGTATGCAATGCTCAATGTTTATAGTTTGCCCAGACACAGCAGTGGTAACAAGTAAAAGTCATGCAAAGAAATCCAGTTGCAAGATGCAACATGGCAAATTTCGAAGATATAGGATAACTGAAGCACAAGTAAAAAAAACACTTCCTCTTTACAAGAAATCAAATATGGTGACCAACCCTTCCACTGGCAAAACCCTCCTGTTAAAAATTCAACTTTTACATCAATATCTTCTGAAGAAAATTTTTAGGCATATTTTTGATGTTTTTCTTGGGGGGGGGGGATAGCAAAAAAAGCCAAGTTTTTATTCGTGATATTGGAAAACGACGCCAAAGGAAAAATGCCTAGAGTCTCAGAAAGGGTTCAAAATGGCCACTTCTCGTTTAAATTAAATTCAAGACGGCTGCCAAACCAAAATTCTGATATTCAAGTAAACTAAGTCACATTAGGGTCTATCATTTCAAACAAATTCTGTTCAGCTGTTTTCTCAAGATGCCTTGATGAAAAAAGGCAGAAGAAAAACAAAAGGGTCCAAACTGACATGGAGCACAATTGTCTGAAAGCTCAGATATTGGTTGATACAGCAGTGTATACTGTACCAATGTTTATCTAAGCAATTACTTGGAAGCTGAATCTAAAAGTGGATTTGCAAGATTTTTGGCTCAATATTCAGTCAGAAGTGTTGTTTTTTCGTAGGAAGTATTTGTGACAAAGTACAAGAAACCCAAGTTTCTTATATTTTTTTTCAATTTATGCTTTTGTTTTTGACTTTGTTTGCACACAATGAGAGTCTTCACGGTTAGTGTGTGTGCATGTACGTGTTTCACAATTATTTCAATAACCAATCATCACATTTCAATGAAACTTGGTATATAGATACTCTGGGACAATGCACAAAACAGATTAGTTTTGTGATGAAAATCGTACAAACTAATCACCTAATTTGCATAAAAAATAGCCAGTTTTTGGGTTTTCCACCAATATCTCAAATACTACGGTAAACAAATGAGATACGATACATGCCTATTCAATGAAGTGTTCAAAACTGGTTTAATATGACCAGCACATTACATGACCGCGCTTGGTCATGTGACCACATTAATATGCAAAATCATAATATCCCAATGCTATTATAAGGGTATCAAACAACCAACGTGATTACGGGTAATATATCAAATGACCATATATGGTCATGTGACCATTAATTATGCCAACATATATTCATAGAAAACACTTTTAATTAATTTTAATTAAATCTTGATGTATAAATGCTGTGGAATAACTCACAGAAACCAAGCCAGAAATGTATACAATCACATTTATTACTTTTGCTTTAATGTTTGTTTTTTCACATTGTAGAGCTGAATTAAAATACAAATTTTAAATATTCTTTAATTCTGATTCATGCATCTCCACTACCTCAGCACATCGAGTCCTTTCATTCTATCTATTAGTTACAGCCTTTTAAAACTCTCTAATGAATTGTCTGTAGCGCATGTCTAGTTATTGTTTTCATAGCTAGAAAACAAAGACAGAAAAAAAACCCCGAAAAGTCTTCCAGTCTGCAGCATTAAAATTTGTTCATGCAATTCACCAGTTATTGGTTGTTGGGTAATCCCTTGTACAAACATTATTACAGAATATGCACTACCATATTTGCATATATCTAAGCTTTCAAATGATATATTAGCCTGACAAGTTGGTGTAGGTGGGGATCGCAGCAGTCCAGGGCGCCACCTACGCCAACTTGTCAGACTAATGATATATAGGTTACCGGTATTATACTAGCATTCTAAGTAACTTTTAGGGAATGTCTGAATAACAGATCAATTGTTCACACACTCTCTTCCTCCTTGGCTACTTTCAGGCGCATTTGAACATTATGTATTATATACCACATGTATTTCCATATTGAAGACTCATATCAAGGAATTTATGGCAGATGATAGATCCTAGTGAAGAAACAAAAGCACATAGCAATAAAAATCAGTATGTGTGTTGTACAATGTTCTTATGCATAATTATAACACTTAAAAGGCAATGGTCGCGTTCTGTTTGATATGGGACTCGTAGCGACGTGTACAACGCGTGTAATATGCAATGTTTGTTTACATGAACACATGCTGTGCGACGACCACCGCCCTTTAAAGATCATTATCCTGCTAGAACAAAAGAACCACCATGAACGTTGGCTGAAAGAAAACAAACCTTATCTCCCGATCAAATATTTAACTAATTTCACAACGGTATGCGAAAGCATGTTATATATTCTTCCAAGTAAAATACAAAAGATTATGAAAAAGGTTTACCTTTACAGTGGCACCAAATAGACTGACTCTCCTCTCTAATACCTATGAGCAATTATACAAGTACTGAAACAAAACCTGAATGGAAATCAACTTTTACTTCAACTACATTTGTAAAATGATACAGAAGTTGATTACTTTTGGAAATTTAGTTGAAAGAGCATGATAAATCTCATCTACTTTTCAAAAAATTTATAAGAGTAATGTGAACAGATAACAAATAAATAACACAACATTTGTAAAAGATTTTTTAAGTATTCTTTATGCAGACTGATAAAGCACAGTTCATTGGTATTTTACTCTTTTGCTTTGAGTTAAATGTCTACTTTCTTTTCCTACAACTTTTTAGCTCAACTTTACAGAAAAAACTGAATATGGTAAAACACAAAATATTCAGCAATGAAATACTGACACGGTCTGTTAGTAAATAAGATGCACTTCATAAAAGAGGAATTGCATTCCTTTAAAAAAAAATAACAATGTACTCTTATTTTATCCTTCAGAAAAATTTGCAGAAAATATGAACAGGAATTCTATTCCAGTTGTACTCTGTTTATATTCACATTAATTAGTTCACACACACAAAAAATGTAAATTGCCCGCCTCCCAAAATAGACAAAATAAGATTTGTCTTAACATCAACAATAAAGGCACAAGAAGCTACTTTTTCTGTTTTACTCCAAAAGGATTTTGTAAATGATTTTTGTTTCAGTGTTACTGACATTGGAAAATATAATAACCTAGATTTTTGATTTCTATATATATATATATATATATAGGCAGTGAGTAAACAATAGAAACTTTATCTTTGAATACTTTTGATTTTCAACTCTGTTTCAGGTACAATGTTGTGCGTTAGGGGTGACGCAACTAAATCAAGTCTACACGCTACCTGTTGATATTTGATCTACGGTAGGGCAAGGTAGGATGTTCTGAATTTAGAATACGCACTATATCAAAATCAGCACATCGTAGTATGATGGAACTGTACAGTGCAGAATTTGATAGAGAAGAAAACAAAAAAACAAGCTGCTCTATGATTGGTCTGACTGTTAACTAATCAGGTACAGTCTTGTAAGTATTTTCGCATAGAGTCGAATGACGTGCACAGGACTTAGCAAAAAGTTATGACATCCAATTTGACAAATTAATTTGAATTCGCTAGGGAGCAACAGATTCACTAATACGTAACAAGGGCGGCTAAATAAATGCAGATGTCCGTTTCTTGATGGCGTGAAAAAATGAATAATGACTGCAAAATTTTAAACACTGCCACCATTTACCGGTACTCACATTGCTGAGCTTTAAGCTGATTATTGTAACTTGTACTTTGGGCTCCATGAACTGGATATGATTTGTATCGTATCCTCACCTCATCAACCCAACTGCGGGTAATTACTAATCCTGAAGATGCTCACCCTTGGGCTCTAATTTGTTTTACAACCCACTACGTGTAAGAAAATGTTAACTTTAAACAACCCCAAAAAAAAAAACACATTATAATTTGCACAAGTTGTTATACATTTTCCAATGTCCACTATAAATTAACTTCAGTGAGAAATTGTTTTTGATTATGAAATGCCTTAGTGCTAGAAACAGTTTTGTTTCTGTTTACAAAGGTGAAGAAACTTTCTGCAAGGTGTTACACTGAAAAACATAGTGTAAAATATTTGCCAGAAAGCCAGTAACAGTGTTAAGCGTGTTTTAACCACATATAAACAACTTTTAATAATAAAATATCGGTGAACAATAAACATATATGTACATAAAATTTGATTTTTGCAATATTTGGAATGATTAGAATTCTCTTTGGCACACAGTATAATTAGAGCAAATATTGTAACCATGGCAACAAAATCTTATTTTTAAATATTTTTTTTTTTTTAAGTATTTCTGATAAATTATCTTCACACTTGCGTTTCTCTCCCATCTGTGATGTAAATTTCATCAATCATGCACATTGATTGGTCAGCCGGTTGCTCAGATTGGTGTGGATTTCTTTGTGAATATTCAAGTCGTACAATTTGGTTCTCAGTTTTCCACATTTTCCATACATAGACATGGTAACGAAGCGATAACTGAAAGTAACAAGATTGGTTTGTGAAAAGTGCTGAGAGAACATTAATGTCTTCAAGTTGAGTTATTATTGCCCACAGTCTGGATGATTTTTTTTATTTACTGTTTTTCGATATTGGCGATTCCCAACTGATGGCATCCATTATTATTCTTCCCGACTTGCTGAATCTACTGACCCTTACTGACCCTTAGTGACCCTTACTGATATTTCACGTTATAGCTTCAATATAACAGAAATTATTTCAGTGTGTAATGTTTTGAGAATTTTTGTCAAATATTGATCTTTATTTGACACAACATTATTGTGTTGTTTTTTTTCAACCAATGTGTGACAGATCCAATGATACGAATGTTTGTGAATTGCAGTAATTCTGTGTTATTTTTCGCACATCAGAACAAAATGAATGAAAATGCCCGGATGTCATCCCCGAGAATAAGCCAGTCACTGACATGACATTGTCTAGCTGTAGGTCCATAGCTTTTTTTGTGTCGGCCTTTAGCCCTTTGATGGTATTTTAGTCATTTCTGATACTTTGGTGTCATTAAATTTGTTATTTTCAAATATTCAGATTTTTTTCGACACAGAAGAGCTCTGACTTCTCCCATAGACTTGCATAACACAAACTTGCAACGGCAAATAGCAAAATATAAAAGTACACCATTTCCATACATCATACATCCAAAACTATTACCAATTGATAGAATGATTATTAAACACTCACCAGCGCGAAAACCGTGACAAAATTTATCTGTTTGAAAGTTGTTTTTTAACAGGATTTAGTTTGCTAAATCGTACACAACTCTAGTGACAGCCATTTTCTTTAAGTCGAACGAGGACGATATTATTTTGATAAATGATGTCACTGTATTAGAACTTGCTTTGGAAAGTTAAACAGCTAAAACGCCGGGAAATGGTTGACTGCTACTGTGAGTATTTTGCTATGGACTTTGTGGTATTTACTGTTGTTGTCTATTTTCCCTGCATCCTAACATGCATGGAAAGACATTTATATTTGTACATTTCTCTTAAAAAAAACAATGGACATATACATGCATCTGCTGAGGTAGGCGACATATTCGCTTTACGGGAGTATCCAACAAGTTATCGGAATCACCTTCTCCAGTGACGTCATATTGTCCTCGTTCGACCTGCAGAAAATGGCTACCACCGTAGTTTTACGCGTGGTCCGGAACACCAAATACCAGTTAGGCTTTGCTGAGAGCTAAATAAACATTATCGATTGACGATAGTTTTGATGGTGTGATGCAAAAAAAATATTCTGCTTTTGTAGTCTTTTATTTGCGATGCCATTTGGCGTTGCAAGTTTGTGTTACGCATAGGTTTTACTGTGTCGATAAAAATCCTAATACGTCTAAAATTACCATTACAAAGACCAACACAAGAGCTATGGACCCACAGCTAGACGTCGTCGTGCAATAGGAAACAAAACAGAAATTATGTCAGCCATTTTTAACAGATGTGTAAAGTTTAATCGCAATGAGTCAAGGGATGCCTAAAATAGGCTACAGAATAGTTGGCCATTTTTTATCTGTTTTGAAAACAAAATGAGGTACATTAAAAGGCTAATTTATTTTCAATATACATATAGAATTGGAAATCTGTCCATGCATGACCTAGATTTGATTCCAGAATGGCAAAAATTCTTTATGTATTTTTAGCTTTAAAATGGCCACCATTAGGCCATATTGAATTTCATCATGAAACGTGCATATGTGTGAAATTCTGACCTGAAACAGAAAAAAGATATATTGCTATGCTAAGAAAACAATCATATAAACATTGGAAATAAAGAAGATGCAACTTACCACAGCCCAGAAAGCATAAATCATCAACAAGATAACCGTAAGCCCAATGAGTCCTGTAGCTTCCCAGCCATGTCCCCTGTGAGCTATGTAATGTTGGGCACCATTCAAACAAAGCCACGAGCTGACACTGACTAATGGAGTCAGTATGAGAAAGCAGAAAAAATCTCCCAACAGGTTTCTTCGGTCATTGGATTGCGACGGTCGGCGTAACCACTGCAGAATAAGCAATCAAGAGATACAGTTGCTTCGCTAGGAATATGGTTTATTGTATTAGATGTAAATATTGCAGTAAACTTTAATTACACTGTACTACATTTTTGACAAATTGTAATTTTTGATGTTAAAGATGACATAACCTTATATTATATTATTTACCTTTGAACTTATTACAATCCCTATTTAAATGCACTGAATTAAAGATTTCATAACCCTGGGTAATCTAGCTATACCATAGGTTTATGTCTATATTATTATCTCATATTAAAAGCATTGAATAAAGATGACTTAATCCTGGATAATCTAGCTATACCATAGGTTTATGTCTATTATTATCCCATTTTAAAAGCATTGAAATAAAGATTTCATAACCCTGGGTAATCTAGCTATACCATAGGTTTATGTCTATATTATTATCCCGTATTAAAAGCATTGAATTAAAGATGGCATAGCCCTGGGTAATCTAGCTATACCATAGGTTTATGTCTATATTATTATCCCGTATTAAAAGCATTGAATTAAAGATGACATAGCCCTGGATAATCTAGCTATACCATAGGTTTATGTCTATTATTATCCCATTTTAAAAGCATTGAAATAAAGATTTCATAACCCTGGGTAATCTAGCTATACCATAGGTTTATGTCTATATTATTATCCCGTATTAAAAGCATTGAATTAAAGATTTCATAACCCTGGGTAATCTAGCTATACCATAGGTTTATGTCTATATTATTATCCCGTATTAAAAGCATTGAATTAAAGATTTCATAACCCTGGGTAATCTAGCTATACCATAGTTTATGTCTATATTATTATCCCGTATTAAAAGCATTGACTTAAAGATGACATAG